TCAGACAAACTGGCTGCAACGCGTGAAAAAGACCAGCGGCTGTGATTATATATATCGACACGACTTTCTTTTGTTGTTTGTGCCGGATGTTTGCAGATGTTTGTCCATGGTAAGCAGGAAGCCTACATAGCATAGGGCATTGTATTCTGATGTATTCTATATACAGGGGATTTAATATAAAACGATTGTTTGTTGAAGGCATGGATCTGAATGCGCGTTGATCATGTTGTTTACTCGACGGAATTTACTAGTTTAAGAAGAGGGGGCAGCTCTTAACTGATTCCAGCTCAGCAGATCCATTGTGGTGGCCCTTCCAAGTAGTGCAATGCTTATTACACGTGGCTCGGCTGTTTCCACAATATGTCTCACTAGCCTGAGACTGCTCCAGTCAGACGAAGCGCTTGCCTATGCAGATACACAACGGTTTGGGATGGTACCAGGCACCTCTCACAAGTTTCAGGAAGCCGTGTTGTTGTTCTTTCACATGGTACGTGTGGATGGGATGGCTACCGGATGGCCTTTGCTTAATAGAATTTAACAATCGTAACTACAGTAATTAGATGGCCTGGCACGGTCTGGGTCAGGAAGATCACCTTCTTTTACCAGAGGTTGTCTATCAAGTACATCATGGTACAGTGGGTTCAGACAACCTTTGACCACAGTGGTAGGAAGTGGACGGGGCAGCAGGTTCGACGGTTTACCACTGAGTACCTCCTTTCAACTCAGTGGTCGGAAGTGGAAGTCATAGGTGGCCGGAAGTTAGGCCACCAGGTTTTGCCGCACCTCTGGCCTCTGGTGGATGTTTTTCGTGCCTTGCTGAGGCTGGATAACTCTGGAGATTTGCAGGACACCATCCATCGATGGCTGATCATACAAAACCATGAGTTCTTGGACAGATCGAGGAGCATGCATTTTTGTTTTGTGTGTTTCACCCTTATATGTAGCCTTTCAGAATGAGAGTGTGGTTCTTTCGTTTTGCAAGGGATTTCTTACTAAACCAATCTAAACCACTTTACAAAGGCTAAACCCTTAGAAAAGGACCCATGGACGGCCAAGCAATCCGGTGTTGGCCTGGCCCTCGGAGTACATATATGTGCTGCACCCACCAGGGCCGCTTGCTGCACACACACATAACTTGACTTGATCTTAAGTCAATCCAGTTTAACGTTTGTTTCAAAGGTGGGCAGACGAACTAAGACAACAATTTGGGTGGAACCCATGTTTGAGATTTGAGATGGTTGGGTAATACAGTGAGCGTCAGTGTTAATGCAGTATATTTCCATGTGATTGGTGTGAAATCCATACGTAATCAATGGTCCGTCAGGGTCGCTTGCCATCTCTTGCCATCTGGACACAGGTTCGCGGCGATCGCCAAAGATTTGCCTGGCTTCAGGCAGCTCTTCTGCAAAGGTTTATGCTCTGCCTTGGGCCTTCCGGCACATGGCAATTGTGTGGAGGCGTGGGGACCGAACCTCGCAGCCGTGGGGGGCCGAAAACCCGCATGTGAAACGGTGACGGACCCACGAGTTCGGTGGCTTCGCATGGTAAGTTGTGGTGCTTCTTTAAGCTTTGGTACTGGTACTCTGGTGAAGATCCTGTGAACAGGTCTGAGTCGGCCTGGCCCACACCCAGATTTGGAGGTTCTCAATGTGACCAACGGCAGCATCATCGTCGAGTTCCTCATGCGGCCACGTGCCCACACTGAGCCATGGCAGATATTCAGATCGGCTGAGTCGCATCGTGGGAGTCGTTGTGGGGATGGGAGTACGGAGTGGTTGCAACACTCTGCAAGACTACAACAGACATCATTGTTGTTTTTTTTGCCAGACAGATATTCCTTTCATGCCACAATACATGGAACAATTGTATTCCAACTACAGCTATACAGCCAGACAAAGCGCGCCTCATCAAAGATGCTAATCGGAGCAAGGGCGAGTTCCAGCCTGGTTTCACTCGGGGGCGATCGAGTTCAGCAAACATATACCTCTTATCCAGTGCTCAAAAAAGGGTCACCTTGGTTCATGTTTTGGGGCGGGCCTTCGGTAGCCAGCCTTTCTTCCACGTTATTTTGGGTTAGTATTCCAATGTATTCCATAAGTTGGTTGTCCAGACCAAATCCAAGGGCACAGCCGTTTCCTTCGCTCCAAACGCCCCACGCAAATCAAGTCGTCCGCCCACTCCTGTGTCTGAGGATTCGCGGAGCGCTTTCGAGCTGAGTCAGCTCTTGGAGAAGCAGCTGAGCTCGCCCTACAGCGCCTTGCGACGAGGGCCCTTAGGCCGCCCCAGCGCCGCGCCGATGCGTCGCCCAAGGGGGTGGGCAGCAGGAGCTTGGGGGGATTGGGGTGCAGAATCTGGGGGACGTCTCTGAAATTTTATGTGGATCCTGTGGATTTTAGAGCACGATCACGTGGGATCCTGAATCCTTTGGGCATTTGGAGGTGGTGCCATTGTTGTTCGAGGCTGGTGCTGACAAATATGCGGCATGCCAGGCAGATGCAACAACTGCTGTTGCCGCTTTGTTGCGGGCGGCTGCAGCACAGAAGAGCCCCTTTTGAATACTTTTGAAGTGATGCATTTGTTGCAAATGGGGGGAAGAGCTTCACAGCTTCACCTTCAAGGGTTCAAGTGGATGTCCTTAGTTTCCTTGGTTCGGTTGGACTTGGACTTGGTGAACAACTCGTTGGGTTTCCTTGTCCAGTGCAAGGAAAAGCTTGTGGCTAAAGTATGCTACTCGTAGGGTTATAACATGTTATAACCATTCTGGACCACAATAGATGGAACATGCCCACGTGGGGAGCATGTTCCAATCTTTGGAATGCTCCACACCCGAATCACACCTGAATATGTTCCAAAGCACGCAAATCCTGCCATGTGTTGGAAACTAGTCATCAAGCATGGGCTTGCAACTCATGGCATTCTACCTGAATGATGGTCTTTTTGTTCCCACCAGGTCTCTTTGTTCTGGCTTTCCGCCTCCCGGATTCCGATGGTTTGTAGACCCCACCGGCGTGGTTGACTCGTCTCGTCTCGCGCCCTTGGCGAGGCAAATTCCTGGGGAACGCCTTCCTTCTTTCGGCCTCTCCACAGACGGTGACTGATCCAGAGCTCACAGGGATCGAAGAAGAAGAGCCAGAGGTGACTCTCATCTAAAATGGTGACTCATCAGATGGTGACTTCCTTTTGGCAAGTGCCCCGTTTTTGGTGCCCCTTTTCTTTGTGCGTTTGCTGGTCCGGCTCAGTGAAGAGCGAATCGTCCGTTCGTGAAAGCCGTTCCGTTCGATGCGTCATATATCACCCGCCTCTTCGGTCCGCCGCCCCAAGCTACTAGTAACAAGTGCCACGTTAGTAGTAACAGGTGCCTTACTAGTAGTAACAAAAAGCTATTAGAATTAAATTAATTTAAATTCAAAGCTTCTTGTAACTGCTAGTAAGGCACCTGTTCCTAGTAGCGTGGCACTTGTTACTACTAGCTTCTTGTTTACTACTATCGTCCTTTTTTTTTGCGACACACGACGGGTATTTTGGGGGCTTTCATCAAACACGGCACCGGTTTGCTGGAGCGGAGATCCATGGCCGAAACCCTTGAGCCACGTGAAATGTGTCCCCTTGGTCCACACCTGAGGAGGCTGGCACGAATTATTTAGATCATTTTAGATCCCTAGATATTCCTATAACACTGTTGAGGCGGTTACCGGACAGAAGAGGAGTCCTTTGCTCCAGAGCTCGTGTGACCCCTCGTGCTCGGGGCCGTGTGAACCAACCAGGAAACTGCCGGCCACCGTGCAGGATGCCGAGGCTCGAGCCGCTTCCGAGGTGTGCACTGGTGTGCACTGGAGACTCACACAACCTCTACAGCAAGGTGGTAAGTATTTGTCAGAAACGGTGTCCATATGTGTCCCATGCTCATGCTTTGTGGTCTTGGTGTAGAGGGTATACTTGGATGTACTTGGGGAAAACTGAGTTCCGAGCCCGCTCAGACTCTCAACAATTCTCAGTTCATTATGATCCCTGGTGCATGCATGCAGGCGTTTGGTCATGTCGATCTTCCGAATCTGAATCGTTGCCGGTAGATTTGATACTGCAGTACTGCATGTAGCATTATACTATATTATTGTTAAGTTGCTTGAGTTTAGTGTTTTTGCTCGCAAGAAGTGTTTTGCACCAATGTTATTTGGAAAAAATGAAAGAAGTGTTTTGGTGTTTCCGTGGCCAAGTCTTAAAACACTTGCACAACCAATAACCATTCGACCCTTCTTCTCACCCTCAATACCCTGAAACACTAGAGCCATCAGTCACAAATTCCCAAAGCGCAAGCACCAAATGCCGTTTTTTTAACAAAAAAAATGCAAGCAGTCTCACTGATCCAAAGATCAGCTCTTCTTGAACAGCTTTCGCAGGTCTTCAAACAAACTTCCTACAAAGTGTTTACAAAGTTTTGGATCTTTACAACAATTTGACAAAGTTTTGGAATTACACTTTTTTACCGAGTTTTTGCATTACAAAGTTTTAACAAAGTCTACAAAGTTTGAAAATAGAAATAACAAACTTCACAAAGTTTTGGAAACTTACAGTACATTGAACTTTACAAAACTTTGGAACTACGAAGTTTTTACAAAGTATTGAACCTTTAGATATCTGAACAAAGCTTTGGACATTTATCAAGCTTTGAACAAGTTTTGGAATTTTACAAAGTTGTTACCAAGTTATTGAGTTTGAAAGTTTTTACAAAGCTTTTGCAAAAGTGTTTGATGCTTACAAACTTTCTACAAAGTTTCGTTGTTTTTTCAATCTGTGTCAAAACTTTGTAAACTTTATTACTTGAAAACTTTGCAAAACGTTGTAAACTTTGTAAGAACTTTGTAAACTGTGTAAATACTTTGTAAACTTTGTAAAAGCTGTGTAAGCTTTGTAGAAACTTTGGTGAAATTCTAAAACTGTGTAAACTTTCAAAACTCTGCAACAACTGTGTAAAGATTGAAAAAATTGCAAACTTGGTCAAAACTTCGTAAACTGTTGTTAAAATTGTAAACTTTTTAAACACTGAAACACTTTAAACTTCGTAAACCTTTGTAAAAAACTTTGTACACTTTGTAAATCTGTGTAAAAAACTGCGAAAACTTTGTGTAAAAAATTGTAAAATGCGAAAACTTTGTCAAAACTTTGTAAACACTTGTAAACTTTGTCAAAACTTTGTGAACTTTGTCAAAAAGTTTGTAAACATTGCAAACTTTGTACACTTTGTACTAACATGTTGTAAACTTTGTAAACAACTTTTAGATGTTGTAGGCCTTCGTGAACTCTATTTAAAAAAAGACCGTTATAAACTTCGTAGCACTTTGCAAACTTTGTAAAACGTTTTTAAACTTCGCAAACTTTGTCAAAGCATTGTAAACATTTTGAAAGACCTTGTGAACGTTGTGAAAACTTTGTAAACTTTGAACATTTTGTAAATTTCCTCAAAACTTTCTACAAATTGTGAAACTGTACAAACTTTGTAAAAACTTTGTAAAATGTAGAAAGAAACTTTGTAAACTTTGCAAATAAATAAACTATCAAAACTTGTAATCGTTGTCAAAACTTTGTAAACTTTGTTGAAACTCTGTAAACTTTGCAAAACTTCGTAAACTTGGCAAAATCTTTGTGAACTTTCCAAAATCTTCAAAACTTTGTAAACTTTGTAAAAACTTTGTAAATTTGTGTAACAAAAGGCAAATGTCGCAAACTTTGTCAGAACGTTGTAAACTTTGTAAAAACTTTGTAAACTTTGTAAAAAACTGTGTAAACTATGTAAACTTTGTAAAAACTTTGTAAAACTTTGTAAAGTTCTGTGAAAGAAGTGTTTTTGCACGATTTTTTTGCTTAAAAAGATGTGTTTTTCATGTCATTTGTTGCAAACATAAGTGTTTTTCACCAGCCATTTGTAAGCTTTGTAAAAACTTTGTAAACTTTGTAAAAAAATTGTAAACTTTGTAAAAACTTCGTAAACTTTGTAAAACTTTGTAAAAACCTTGTAAACTGTGTAAAAACTTTGTAAACTTTGAAAAACTTTGTAAACTTTGAAAAACTTTGTAAACGTTGTAAACACTTTGTAAACTTTGTAAAAATTTTGTAAACTTGAAAAAGCTGTTGTAAACTTTGTAAAAACGTTGTACAACTTTGTAAACTTTGTAAAAACTTTGAACACTTTGTAAGCACTTTGTGAGCCTTTGTAGACTCTTTAAAATTTGAAAAACTGTGTAAATTCCGAACTTTGCAAGAACTTTGTCAAATTCCAAAGCTTTCTAAAATCGTTGTAAACTTTCAATACTGTGCAAAAACTGTGTAAACTATAAACTTTGCAAATTTTGTGAAAGCTTTGTAAACTATGTAAATACTGGGTAAAGTTTGCAAATGTTTGTACACTTTGAAAAAACTCCATGTAAAATTGTAAAATTTGCAATCTTTGTAAAAAATGTATAAACTTTGTACAAGCTTTGCAAACTTTCAATACTTAAAACTGTGTAAACTTTGTAAAAACTTTGTCAAAATTGCAGCAACATTGTAAAACTTTCAATACGTCTTTAATTGATTTTTTAATGGTAAAACCTTTGTAAACTGGGTAAACTTTGGAAATTGTCCAAAACTTTGTAAACAGTGTTAAAATATTGTAAACTTTGTAAAACTTTGTAAACTTGGTAAACGGTTGTAAAACTTTGCAAACTTCATAAAACCTGTGTAAAACTTTGTAAACTTTGTACCAACTTAGAAAGCCTTGTAAAAACGTAGTGAACTTGGTATAAACTTGGTAAACTTTGTCAACACTTTGTAGACTTTGTAAAACATTTTTAAACTTTGTCAAACTTTGTAAGCTTTGTCAACCTTTAAACTTGTAAAACTTTGTAAGAACTTGGTAAAACTTTATTAAGACGTTGTAAAATTCGCAAACTTTGTAAAAAGGTTTACAAACCTTCTACGAAGTTTTGGAGTTCTTCGAATTATTCTTCAAAGTTAGAGCAACGTTTTACACAGTTTTTAGAACGTTTACAAAGTTTTTTATTTTTACAAAGTTATACAAAGTTTACCAAACTTTCACAAAGTCTCAAGATTTTGTACAAAGTTTGCAACTTTTGCAAAGAGTTGACAGAGTTGTTGAATTACAAACAAACTTACAAAGGTTTACAACGTCTACAAAGCTTTTACCATGGCCGTTCACTCACCACTCACGAGACAAACAAACCTATGAAATAGTCCTTTGGGTCTCGTATGTTGCCACTAACAACGCAACAACAAGACGTGTTTTATACCCTCTCTTAGTTCTGAACAACCAATTCTTCAGAGGTCCGCAAGGGTCAAAAACACTTCTTCTGCGCTAATTCCCCCGAAACAACG